ACAATTCGATTTTCAATTTGCAAATAGAAACCGTGGACCTGGTCCAACGAAGTTGGAAGAAACGATGGAGAATATTCTTATTGACTAAAAAGAAAAAGAAGTTTCGAAAGAAGTAGAATTTTAATCGAATACGAACGAAGGGGAAGTTTTTACGCGCAGCATTACGAGGGGATTAAACGAGTTATGCGTTTCTTTTTCGATCTGTATCACCGAGACGTCCCCTCCCCCCGGTGTTGACGTTCCCTTTATGCGAAAAGTTTGGCATCGAGGAAAACTTTTTCTGGGTATCGTTGGATGCATTTCCTGCTCGGCAGATACGTTACGTCGTGGTAGCGACAGAAATCGAGCAGAGGCGCGGTTATATTGAAAACGGAAAACGCTACATGAGTTGTGAAATATCGAGAGTTTCTCCAGGCATACCGGGGATCCGTTTTATAGGAACAGCTCGACTGTTCGTGAAAATCGCATAGACTTTCATTCTCGCGTTACATTTTGGATAAAGAACGGATCCTCCCTTTTCGCGTAGAATTTTTATTCGCGCGATTTTTCCTTGAACACTTGTCGATAGATTTTTGTTTCGTCTGATAATTTCACGCGTGTTCCTTTTTTCCTTCGTATTCCAATTACGACTCAAAGGAAAAAAGAAAATAATAGGAAATTTTGAGAAAGAAAAAAATAAGGGAAAAATCACTTCTCCTCATTCTTCTCCTCGGTTAATTTCATTACGACTTTCGTCTCTCGAACCATTTTTTCTCCACCCCGACGGAGAAGAGAAGAGAAACAGAGCAAAAAGCTTGATTACGCCCTGTCCCCCCTCCCCCCCCGTGGAATGCATAATTTTATTTTATCCACATTTCGGCTACTTTTAATCACGCAAGATTCGGTAAACCGTGGAAACAACCGTTTTATTCGCTTATATTCGCCCTCACACTCGCGTAGAATTCGCGGAAAAATTAAGGAATTTCAACATCCATCGGAAGAAACTTTGGCTTGCATTTTCCTTAACGTCGATTTACTCGACTCTTTCGTTACGCAACGTTCGTCTTCTAATCTGTTTTATCCCCGATGTTCCGCGTATTTTGCGAGTCTGTAAACATTCCTCCTCCGAATTTACGCGAGCTTGGCTCTCTCGCAAATAATTTTCCTGGGCTCATTTTTCGGGCTCACTGTTCGTCGTTGCTCTTTTGTCGCGCTGCAAATCTGCAAATGGAACTGTTTTTTGGACATTTTTTTTTTTTTCTTTTTTCGGTCGCCTCTGCAATTAGTAAGGAATTTCCGAAACGATTGGACTTTGACTCTTTTTTTTTGATTTTGCAGAAGGAAGAATAAATTCGATTATAATGACGAAAGAAATTCCGTTACGATGAACAAACGTATCATGGCATTAAGAAAGCTCGATAAAACTTAAAGGATGAGCCTTTGAAAGCTTGTTCTTGAAAGCACGAAATTCGAAATGTTGAGATTTATTTATCATTGCGAATAATCGAAGATTCGCGTTGGATGAAAACCGAGGTCACCGAATTGTACCGTGAAACGGTTAAAAAAAAAAAAATTGTCAAAAATAGATCTGCTATGATTCGTGTGGTTATAAATAAAAAGAATGCAAACGAAATGTCTCGATATTTCGTTCCCAAGTTATTCATCATAAGTCGTTTAAATAGACCAGTAGTCAGCCAATATATATACACATCACGTGGCCGGATTCACTGGAAATTAACCGATCTTAAAATACCGTGGCCCGTCAAGTCCATAAAACTCGGAGCAGGAATTAGAAGACCGCTAACCAAACGATATTTACACGAGCTTTCCACCGTCATCGCTCTCTGATCCCGTCTCACGGGAAATATATGAAATCTCTTTCGACTTTGGTTACGAAATTTCCTGCTTGGATCTCGATATCGGTGATCGTTCTCGTGCTCGTGTTATCGTTGATCCGCGGCTTGCCAAGTCAGACCTCGTGGTCAGAGTCAGTCCTACATATCCAGATCTGGAAAAGGAGGTTGTTGCGACGGCGAATTCTGTATCGTCGTTACGTTCAAGGGGGTGGATAGATAAACAGAAGGATGAAAAGCTTGGAGAGGAAGGAGTGGCAGAGAAGCAAGCGTATTCTCTCGTTTCTCCTCGTTCGTATTCCTATATAATATATGATGGACACATTCGTACGACTAGCTTCGTATTCTTTCCTCTTCTTCTCTTTTTTTTTTTTTCTTTCCTTTTATTTCTCGGAATAATTACGCGTCGGTAGGAAAAACGAGGGTCAAAAGAAAACACGGGTGAAAACCTTGGATCGCGGTATCAATGAGACGGAATTAATGATCGCTCTCGTGGTCGAAAAAACAAGTCGAACACGAAAGAATGAAAGAACCAAAGAGAGGGAGGGAGAGAGAAGAGGAGACGCGGATATGGAAGGAAAAGGTGTTTCTCCAATCTGGTTGTATCCGCTGGTGGTGCGTTTTTGATATACAAACGCGGTATCCGTTTCTTTATCGCGCTTTTTGCACCGCTCTTTCAACAAGCCTGATCCTCTTTCTCTCCACCACCACCACCACCACCACCATCCCATCGTCTCTCTCGAGTGGGTTTCGAGCCGAAAGAGAAGAAGCGGCCGGGTATCGCGTCGGCTTAGCGGCTAGAAAAAACAGAGGCGCGAGGATCGGCGTGCTCTCGTCGTCTCGTCATTGTGGCGAGCGTTGACAGGAGAGAGGGAGGGAGGAGTTCAGCATCGTAGCCTCTCGAAGAGGAGGCAAGAGAGCGGACGGCTCTACGAACAGAGACAGAGAGAGAGAGAGAGAGAGAGCTCCAGGTGTACGAGCAGAAGCGGAGGGATGGGAGGGAATGGCAGGGCCGTAGCGATGTTCCCGAGGGAGGAGACGGCGAGGAGAGGAGACGAGGACGAGTAGAAGGGATGAGGGAGAGGGAGGTGGTGAGAAGAGAGAGAGAGAGAGAGAGAGAGATAGTGGGACTCGAGGCGCAGGCGTGCGACTGGTCGCGGCTCGAATCCCGCCGTATTCCAAAGAGGAACACGCCACTCCGCCCCCGGCACGGCAGCCACGCGTCAGTCTCACCCGACTGACCTCCTGTCCCTAACTTCCCTCTTCGATTCCTGACCCGCGCACATTGAACTCACGCGGTCCGCGAAGACATCGCGCCGCTCAGTCGCCCTCCGACCGGAAGTGCTGCTGCTTCGCCCGCTTGGAGCCATGCATACACGGCCTAAACTCGGATACATCGAAGCAAGGAGGTCGGTGAAGGAGGAGGAGGAGGAGAAGAAGGTTGTTCCTCGTTACGGTGCTCGACGACCTTTTCGGTGCTAGATCCCCCCTTCTTCGTTCTCGTTCTACGTTCTTCGTCTCGATTCAACTGGTTCACGACTGGATTGGGGGAAAAGTCTCGACATGGAGAGAAGGAATATCGAGGATAGGAAGATGGAGAGGCGCGAAAGATGGTTTCGCGACGATGAGGACTCGAGGAAACGAGGAGGTCAACGTGGTGGAATAGTGGAATAGGATCCGTTGGAAGGAGAAGGAGGAAAGTGTGAAAGAAGTTCTCTTCGGTTCCGCGAATCGGTTGTTGTTTTTCCGCGTGGTGCGACGACGGGTGAGTTCGGTTGGTGTTTGAGTGCGCGCGACGAGTTTCGACGAGGAAAGTAAACAGTGAGAGAAGAGAAAATTACAGTTGAATCGCGATTTAAAACCGAGGAGATTACAACGAGAGAGGTTTCGCTCTCGTCGGTGTCGATCGCCTGCCGGTATTTCGATCGAGAAGTCGAAGTCGGTGCTTCGGGGTGTTTCCCACGATCGAGAGCCACCACGTGTTACCCGGACACGTAAACTCGAACTCGACAATTCACGATTTTTTCCCCCAGTTAGTTTTCGACCGTTGTTCGACCACGACGTAGAGAGGATTAGAGAAGAGAATTAGAGAACGAAACGAGTTGTTGACCGATAAGAGAAAAGAGTTCATTCCCCTCCCCTCTCCTCCCCACCCCCTCCCCCCCGAGTTTCGAAACGTAAATATATCCCGAAATCATCGTAGATCGAGATTCTATTATTATTAAAGTCATTATTAGAGGAATTTTAGCGATCGTTGTCGTTATATAGTGAAAATTTATTGTACGAGAATCTTCGATATTGCATAGATATATCTATATATATATATAATATATTTGAGAGATTTATACCGGTTGTTTTACACGCTCGGTGTAAAGTCGATTGAAAAAGAGAGAGAGAGAGAGAGAGAGAGAGAGAGAGAGAGATATTGTTATTGATACACGGAAGAGTAAAAGGAGAGGAGCAGAAAGAGATCGGGGAGGAGGAATATTTCGCGAGGTGGAAGGATTGATACCTCGTGTCGGATCCATGTAACGAGCGAGCACTCTACAATAATACAATAATAATGGTCGTGAGTTCGCACTTTAATTCGAGCAACAATCGACGAGTAATTAATAACGATCGATTCACGCGAGAATTCCCGGCGTCGAATTAACGTTCGTCCGCATACAATTAATCAAATGTTATTTCGAAATATTACGCGATCTCTGGCGACGCGGGACAAAACTTCATTGGCCTATCCACTGGTGCAACGAACGAACGTATATCGAGCCTAATAAATAACGCGCGAAAAGGGAGGCAGAAGGGGGAGGAAGAGGAGGAAAAGCTGGAGGAGGAATATACACGTCGCAGTGTTCGATCGAAAGAAGGAACGAAGGTGAACGATGAAAATGGAGAGATCGGTCGACGACCTTGCGACGCGAACACGAGAGCGAACGCTTAAACGGTGGTAGACGACGAGCGATTCCCCACCGGTGGAGATTATCGATTGGTTCACGCGTGGGCCAACATGTCGCGCGCGAAATGTGCACGAGCTGCGAGTTCGCGAATCGTTCGGGGACCTCGTTGGGAAGGACGAGCAGCGTCTGCCTTGACGCGTTAGATCGAGCGTCGTTTCGTATTCTCGTCGAAACGAAATCTCGTCGAACGGTATGCATCGGTGTCGTCCGTTTTGAAAATTAATAAGCGGCATTCGAAGCGCAACCACCTCGACAACGAGATCAGACTGCTGATCGAACGGTTTCGAGCGGATAACCCGAGGATATATATATATATATGTATATATGTGTGCGCGCGTGTATATGTATATATAATCTTGGCCGAGATTGGAAGAAGAACACGACGATGATCGTGGAACTGGGCACCTAGTCGGTCGTGTCCGGACGCCGCTAAAAACCAAATGGGCGAGCCGAAACCCGCCTCGTCTCCGCAGCCCAACGGCGGGGTGAAACAGAAGCCGACCAGCCTGAATCTAGCGCCGGGTCCCGGTTTCTATCGCAATGTCAACGGACGTGCGAGCCTGAATGATCGTCATCTACAGCACGTCACCGCTGTCGTCGGCGGTGAACGCGCCGCACGCGTCAACAAGTCAGCCTCGCCAAGCCCTGCCGGCACAGTCAACAACAATCCCGAGTCCGGGAGTGGCGGCAATTCGGCAACCTCCACCACCACGACCGTCCACCTACCAGCTCTACCAACAGTACCACCATTATCAGCACTATCTTCAGCGTGGTCGTTGTCTGCAGAACTTGAAAATTTGCTGGAACCCCCGCCCCCACCGGCCCCAACGGCCACGCCTCGAACAACCGCCGTTGTCAACGACCATCACCAACACCACCATCAACACCACCACAACCAGCAACAGCACCAACAACAACGCAACAACAACGTACAATCGTCCCCGATCAACCAGTTGCCCACCCGTAGCCCGAGTCACAATGGTCACGGATTCCCATTGTACACCCCACCAGCCCCGATACCAGCATCCGGCGCAAATAAAGTTCGCTCTACTCCCAACGGTCTACCCCAACCAACAGCACCGAGGCGTCCTCATAGTATTACCGCTCCATCATACCATCACCACGTCTCAAATGTCCACCACTCCCTTGGTCAACTCGGTGGTGCAAGAGCAAACGCAGCATCGTCATCATCAGCACTATCATCATCATCATCATCATCATCACCAGCAGCAGCAACACCAACAATCGTACAATCAACAAACGGCGCACCAGGATCATCATCAACAACACAACCGTCATCACCGTGGGATAACGTTGGGGGTGGGTCATCACCAGCCGGCTCAAGTTCAGCAGCCGGCGTTGTATCATCACCATCATCATCATCATCAACAACAACAACAACAGCAACAACAGCAGCAACAGCAACAGGGGTGGTACAACAACGGCGCGCCCATTCGGTCGCCGGTACTCCAGTATCTGTATCCGCCGGGTGTGGTAGCAACAATGGCGGCGGCGTCAATGGTGTCAACGGGCAACAGGAGCCACGGAGCAACGGTGTCTCCCCATCCGTCAACGGTGGTACAATGGGACCCACGACTCGCAGCGTTGTACCACCCCAATCTTTATGGAACGGCCAGCTACAGCAACCCGTACCTAGGCGGCCTCACAGCATCGCCTCGACACCCGTTACACCTTCACCAGGTGGCATGCCTGCACCAGCAGCAGCACCAGCTCCACCACCAACATCAGCAAGCGGCGTACCATCGTCCGCTCGTGCAACAGCCGAGCCTATACAGTGGGGTTCCTCTGGAATGGTGTTGCACCAACCCATACCTCGCAGGGCGTACGCTTCGACCCTGCCACATCCCCAACCACCCACGCCCACGTCACAAGGGCCCGCTCTGAGCATCCTAACGAATCCCGGCAATTCGAACACGTGGACACCCGGCGCCGGCCTTCGATCCAGGCCTCATAGCATCGCCACCACGCCGCAGACCGCCCCGATGCCCCCGGCCTCACCCTCCGACTCCGGTTATCGATCTTTGCCATCTGCCGCCAGCGATTACCAGATTCTCAAATCCCCCTCGAGATCTCAAGCTCAGCAGACGCAGCCACCACACCAGCACCAACTCCACCACCAACAAAATCACTCGGCCACGCGCCGCCTCTCCCTACCCTCCGCTCAGTCGCTTCTCCGCGCTTCCGCGCCCAGGCCGAGCCCGACGTTTCACGGCCTGCCGTTCCGCCCGTTCAACTGCGGCGTCTCCCCTAACGGGAACCCGATCTTCCTCGGGTGCACTCATCTGCACAACAGCAGCAGCTCGACGGGCACCACCGGCACGGGTAGCACCGGAACCAGAACCTCGACGCCGGCAACGAGCCCCGCGACTCCGCTCACCACCTCGCAAGCGATACAGCAACTGCTGGCGCAGCCACGAAACGGGTTCAAGATAGTGGACGATAAGGTGTCGCTGTTCATCGAGATACTCGACACGCAGGAGAGGTTCGCCAAGGTCAGTGGCAAATGTGCCAAATGTGCGTTTTGCATGCATCCGTCCGAAATATTTTTAGATCGATCCGGGTCGAAGAAGCGGCTCTTCTCCTGCCCTCCCTCTCTCCCTCCTTCCCTCATTCGATTCGAATTCCAAGCGAGCGCGGTCGTTGTCCCCGCCCGACAAAGCTTATCCCCTCCCCCCTCCAAAACTCGAGCCAGGAATACGGTTCGTTTTAACGTCGGATCGTCGAATCCCGACGTTTTCCGGGCTTGTGATTTTTCCTCCGTCCCCTCTGCTTTGGTTACTGGGTTAATTAATTCGCGGCGAATTCAGGGTGAGAATGTCGAAGAAAGGAAGGAAGGAAGTTTTTCTTCTCCGAAAATCGATATCATCTTAGCTGGACGATGAAATTTATTCTTACCTTTCGATGTATCTATAAACTTTTTCCTCGTCACGAGCAAATCGTGATGAATCGACGTTTATGAAAGGAAAAAAGAGTTGGTGGGACGCGTTTTGTGATTCTTTTTCTCCGCTCTACTCTCCGAGAGAGCGTGTCCAGTTTGCAATCGTCCGTTGTTTCTGTTCGATCTTCTCCTCTCCTCCTCTCGTGGAGGAGATCTCCCTTGTTCGACGCTCGATCTTCTTCGTCGAGTTTCGTGGGTAGTAGCCACCTTCTTCTTAAATCGATAACGCTCGACGATGAGCACGAATCCCATCTCTCGGTGTGGCATCCATCGCGGCGGCCGTCATACATAAATTTCGCCCTTGAAAAATAAATGCGTTGCCCGTGTTCTCTTCCACTCCTTCCTTCTACTCGATGGATCCTTCCTTCTTCGATGGAATCGATCGAGAATGCAACGAAAGAAACACGTGGGAAGGAGGGGGCAGGGAGGGCAGAGGAGAAAGCCCACGAAGTTGTGGTTGCACACCATACCCGCAACTTCTCGTTCCGGGATAACTTTATGATTTCGCGTCTTGCGTTATTTGCGTTATTTACAATGGAAAGTTTAAAAGGGAGGAGGAGGAGGAGGAGGAGGAGGACGATGATCACGAGTGGATTCGATTTACCTTCGTTTCCTGCGTTCTGCATAATGTAACGGGAATTGCGCCCGTTAACGCGGCAAGTTCATTCGCGGCCACGTTTTTCTCGCTCTTGTGAACTTTTGCTTTTGCTTTCCGTCTCGCGTCGCCCGTGCTTTGCGATTAATCACTCGTCGATCGTATTTTTAAATATCATTCGGGGATGAAATGTGGGGGTGCGGGGGAAGTGGAAAGAGCCTGCCTTTTTTTTTTTTTTTTTAGTTAGGTATTAATACGGCTGATGGACGAGTGAAATTTGTAATTTTTTCAGTATTGAGTTTGTGGAGTTTGCGAGGATTACACAGTTTCCGAAGTTTTTGGAATTTTAATGTGCTGCTCCTCGTGCATTTTTAACGGTTTGCATTAAAAATGCTCGTAATTGCTTAACGCGAATAAATATGATATTAAACGCGAAATAATTTGGGACGAGTGTTGAAAGATTAACGGCGCTATTCACAATTCAAACACAATATCCGGTCTTGTATTAGTTATACAAATTTACTAGATATATATGGGATTAAATTGTAACGAATTAAAATTTGTCTGTTGTGTCTACGTTGCCAGCAAATGAACGATGATACGTTTATTTTAACCGTTTTCGAAGAATCTTTTCTCGAGATAACGGTGTATTCCGTGCTTGATCTTATTTTTTTTTTTTTTTTTTTTTTTTTTTTTTTTTACTATTTTGCTTTACAAGACCGGCTACGATATCGAATTGAAAATAGCGTAAAATCGTGATAACGATTCGTGACCGATTTAAATACGGGCAAAAGTTGGAAATTTTCTAGCGATTCTTCCTCTTTCTCGGTCTCTCATCTCCCTCCCCCCCCCCCCATCGATCGGAAAAAAGACGTACCGTATCTGTACGCGAAAATCGGAAGCCGGAGGATATCATTAAAACTTCATCCTTGTCACGACTCCCCTTTCAATCGCTCCACCGGCATGGAATATTATATTAAACGAATCGATGTCACACAATGGACGCGAGAAAGAAAAAGGAGAAAGAAAAAAAAAAAAGAAACGATGCTCCGATTCTCCTTTTGTTCGCGTAAATGCTTTGAAAAAAAAAAAAAAAAAAGAATAGAAAGTAGTTGGAAAAGGTATCAGCTCTTTCGATTTTCGCCCCCAATGCGAGGGGCGAAATTAAGCACTAACTCGTCCCCAAATTTTCCCCTTGATGAGCATCCATCCCCTTTTCGTCCTTCCAAACTTTCGAACCGTTCGAGCATCACCGACGAAACCCGCGTAATATCGCGAAATTCTCTGACCTTCTCACCCTTCCCTCCTCCTACTTTCCAGCGATTCCATCCACTTTCGACTCTTCCGCGAGCGGTTGGATCGGTGTTTACCGGCATTTTCAAAGGACACGTCACGCGGAATACGTGGAAGCCGCACGATGCCCCTTGTACGTGAATCCGGACGAGAGAGCGTGTTGATCGTGGGAGGAAGCGTGTTCCATCCACCCACTCAACCATCCATCCATCCCCTATAGTCTCTCCTCCGTGGTTTGCTACCTCGGTATGTCGAGCCCTCTTTGAATCCTTCAAAGTTACTCGATGGCGTATTAGTTTCCAAGTCTGCGCGGTTTAATTGAAGTCTTAATATTCGCGTCTCAAAGCATGAATAGCCGAGGTTGGTCGGCCACGCGAGAAGCACGGAACATGGTTGGTTTATGCGCGTGGCGCGTATGTGCGCGTGTCCATGTTGGGGAGGGGTGGTTATATAGCGTGGGCGAGCCATCCCCCAGTGATAAATGTAAACGAGATTTGGTGGCTCGAGTACCGGTGGCCGATGAGGTTTTTGGCCGTGGCTGACACCTCTTGCGCGCCCGAATTAACGAGGGTGTAATGGATCGTGAGACGCGCAAGAACCATCCTGATGAAGTGTTTCGGATTCAATTCGACGAGGGAGAAAAGGGGAAAGGGGAGGAGGCAGGATCATCGGTAGAGGATTTTCATTCGCATCGTTTCCTCCGACGACTGATCGTCCCGTTTACGAGAACGGAGCGAAGTCGTGTCTGGTATTTGAAGATGAGTGGTGTTTCCTTTTCTCCTTTTTTTCTTTCTTTTTCTCGGATGAGCCTCGGATTACGAATGACGCATACGAGGTCTTTAATATTCCGTTCGATCCTCTCAATTATTCCGCTACGTGATTCCCCTAAGCGTTTTGAACAATACGATAGGTTGATTGGCTCTCGAACACGTGTCCTCATTTACGCCGCGGAATATTAACAATGTTCCTGGGAGCGCGTTAAAGAGAAGAAGGAGAAGAAGAAGAGTATAAATCCTTCTCCCCCCTAAAGATCGATCGAAATTTTAGGAATCGGAGTTTAGAAATATGTGTTATATTTCTACTCGATGAATGAAAATTATTCGTATTTCGGTCGAAATCATTGTACTCGGGGATCCGTTCATTGTGCGGGAGATCCCAAGATTTCGAACCTCCATTGTTTGGAACCGAGAATTGCGCGTTTCTCTTCGATATTCGATTCGAGCCTCGAGGTTTATGTAAATTTATCGAGAGAGAGAGAGAGAGAGAGAGCGGGATTTGTCGCGCGACAATTTCACAGAGTAACGGTTACATCATTGTCCCGCAAGCACGCGGATCGCAGGTCGATGCCCCGACGATGGAAAAGTTGGGGAAAAAGTTGTTGGGTCGACGGACAGAAAATTTTCCTCGAGGTCGACGAACAATTTCGCGGAGTTAAGGAATCGAAGTTGAAGAAAACGATCGCGTAATCGATGGAGAAATCGGTTCCCATTCATCCCCTCTGTGTGTGTGTTTGTGTGTGTATCAATTGGAGAGAATTTCGATGGAGAATTCTCGCGATCGCGAACAAATAGATCGGCTCGTTATTTTAACGAGACCGTGGCCTGCTCGAAGTCGAGAAACTCGTCTCTCTCTCTCTCTCTCTCTCGTTCGTTCGTTCTTCGTTGCTCACTTTCGAATTCTATCCCCCCGTTATTAGCCGGAGGAAAGTTTTGCCCCGGATTTGGTGGCGAGTTAACTCGAAACAACGCATCCCCGCATCGAGGATGTTATGCCAGGCACGAAATCAGGTCCGGCCGGTAATGGAAATTCCTGGCAAATTTCTATCCAGAAACCTCTATCGTGTTCCACGTATCCTAAAATAAACCTCGATAAAGCGATCGGTTCCTCTTGTTCGAGAGCCTCTCGTTTCAAAAATGGGGCAATTCTGTTTTTTACTTTTCGGCGTAACGCGTTGTGAAATTATCGTTTGTTATTGTTTTCGAATGAAAGTATTTCTATAAAAAATACTTGCGCACTTTTATAATACGTTTCAAGTTCGAAGTTAAAATTTATAGGGAGGGGGAATATTTCAGAGGCGGTTGAAAAAAATTTGAGAAAAATTAATTTCGTGTAACGAGATTATCGATAAATTCGTAAAAAGTCTGGCGATGATTTTAACGATGCTCGAATTTCCTGCATTAATAGTTCCAAAATCGGAGCATCGACCGTTAAAACCATCCTTGGCGGAGGAGAAGCGAGCCAAGAAGTCGTAGATTCTGCACCAAGTTCTCGTTTAACGGCGTTTTAATCGGTCGCGAGCCAACACACCAACCATCGCTTCATCGATCGGGGAACACACGGAATCGTTGATCACAGCGACGCGGACCTTCTACCGACTCGCTTGTTAAACGATTCCTGTGTATTCCCCTACGTCGCATCCCTCCCCTCTTCTCGCTTACCTCCATTTTATCTCCCTCTCTCTCTCTCTCTCTCTCTATCACAGAATAATCGAGAAACGTTCGATTTTCTGATTAAAACATCAAGATCGATTCAACATCTGCCAACAATCTCTTTCGCTCTCTTTCTCTTCCAA